TTTTAGGTGCTAACATATGTTCCATCATAAGCACTTGCATGGTAGCTGGTAGTGCAGTTTTTAAGATAGTGGTATTTGCTGATATACATAACATCATTAATTATGCTAAAACCATTTCCTGTGTGCACACGGTGTATACACATATAAATGACTATAAGATTTTTGAGGTTCTCTTTAAGCAACTGGAATCACTTACACAAGCAACTTCAGTGAACTACATTTTGAGTTTCATCCAGACAAGACAGAAAAACAGATTCTAGTATTGAGATGTGCATAAGCAGGGATTTAGCTCAGCGGCATAAGCGCCTGCCTTGCAAGCAGGCAGTCGTGAGTTCGATCCCCAGTACCGATAAAAAAAAGACAAAAAAAAAAAAGGTTAAAAAAAAGTAAAAAAAAAAAAAAAAGAAAGAAAAAGGGGCTGGGGATTTAGCTCAGTGGGATAAGCACCTGCCTTGCAAGCAGGTGGTCATGAGTTCGATCCCCGGTACCGATAAAAAAAAAAGGTTAAAAAAAAAAAAAAAAAGAGATGTGCATAAGCATCTAGTATCAAGAGTTGTGATATAAAATATTTTTTCATGTGGAAATGATTCCATATAAATAATAAACACAAAGAATATGATCCTAAAATTTGAACTACTACTTCAAATTTTAGTTTATTTTTGATATATTGCTGTTGTTTATTTTAACCCTGGAGTCGCAAAGAACTTGGGACATTAGATTTTACTATACTTGCTGCACATCATATCCTCTCCTGCTCAGGCTTGGCTGGGAATTTAATCTATTTCTTATTTGAGGGGGAATTGAAGGCATTTTAAACAAAGCAAACAACTACACTATGTGTCAGCCAAAACTGAAAATATTTACTTTAGAAGCATTTTTTAGTATAATAAAGTCCAACAAAATAACAAAATTTTTTTTATCGGTACCGGGGATCGAACTCATGACCACCTGCTTGCAAGAAAGACATTAAAATGCATGGAAAAAGAGAGTTCCATTATGTTTCCTTGAGAAGGCAAGAACCATAAACATTTTGAAGCCCATAAATATATTGGAGATTTCTGTCAAAGATATGTGTTGAAGTATTTAATTCTCACCACTGGGATAGACTTGTGTCAGATGCTCTTTAAATTGCAAGTGTAGCTGGGGATATAGCCCAGCAGCACAGTGCCTGCCTGGCAAGCACAAGGTAGTGAGTTCAATCACTAGTACAACAACAACAGAAAATTGCATGTGTAAAATCTATTCTAAGAACAAGTGGTGGTTAAGAAGTGTGGAACTCCCTGCTTAGGTTTTTATGATCCTTAACTTGGAACAACTTTAAAAGCATAGGTACTAAAAATTTCATTTTGACAAGATCGGTGCCCTTCTCCTTTTTAAAATACATTTTTCCTTCAGTTTAGTATTAACTCTTGATTGCTTGCCGTACTACTTCTGGATGACACCTGCTTAAATCTGTTTAATCCAAGAACATGGTGTATATATTAAATGTATTGGCATTTAATATTTTTATTTTTATATTTATTTTATATTATTAGTACATGTTTGTAGTACATAATATTATTCATCTGAGGAGTTGGCCCACATATATCACATCTTAGTTCTTTCTTTATATCCTTTCCCCCTCACCTCCTTCCACTTCTTGGTTCTTTATAAAATGCTTTTTGCATTTTGATATCTACTTGAAATCAGTAGGATGTTTACTTTACCCTCTGAAATCCTGGGTGGGCAGGAGCAGGGTTTATGACTATGCCTTTAAGAAGTTTTGGATCAGAGGCAGGTGTGGTGAGGCACGCCTGTAGTCCCAGCAGACTGAGGCAGGAGGCTGAGGCAGGAGGCCTCAAGTTTGAGGCCAGCCTGAGCTACAAAGTGAGTTCACAGTCAGCCTGAACTGCATAGAAAACCCTGTTTCAAAAAGACAATAAAAACAAAACAAAGAAACTTTGGTCCAGTGAATTGTAATCTCAAGCCCATGAATTTGAATCACTTATGGGTCTAATCAACACTTAATTTACATACTCAAAGACTATGAAGCTTGAAGACTCAGTGTTTAAAAGTGTTATAGGTGATGATGGTGAACAACCCCTATTAAAAATATTAATTTTTGTGGGGATTTATTTTTGAAATAGAAACTATGATAGTTTTGTTATGAAAGTTGGCAAGACGTCCCTTTATTTCAGTAATTTAGGGAGAAAGTACAATGGATTCTTTCAAGGTGTTAACATATATTTATTAAGAACATGTTAATAAGAATAATTTTCATTTTTTTTTTTATACTGGGGATCAAACTCACAACTTTGCGCTTAGCAGGCAAGCACTATTGCATCTTTAAAAGTGCTGCTGAAATGCTGCATACTGTTTTGGAATGGAATTTAAGAAATTATTTACATCTGCATGCCAAAACAGTAGTAACCAGCTGTGTATGTGGCTACTGAAGCAACTGAAGTGAGCTGTACTAAAAATACGAAGTATGTATAGTGTTTTGAATACTTAATGTGAAAATACTAAACATTTTCCCTATAGATGTGAATATTAAATATCTTAATTTTCATATTAACTACATTTTGTAATACTTTAAATATATGAGCATATTGTTAGTAAGGTGTATTGCAACTTGACGACATATTGGGCACACAAGAAAATAGAAGTTAGATTTACCTGATGCCAGCTTATTCTCCATAAGTATTACTTTTTAAAGTTTCAGTATGTGAAATAATGGACTAATGAATTAATCTTTAGTTTTGAAGTGAAACCTATTAGTATATTCTGTAAGCAAAATATAACTTTAAAGATACATGATGATGATGGAGTCTGCAGGAATCATAAAATATTATTAGAATTTATAGATTGATAGTAGGTGGCTGTATAAGCCAGTAGTTTTTGTTTTTAGGGTTTTTTTAGCTGACATAATTAAGAACATGATGTAATGAGAGGGTCAGAATCTTACTTGAGGATATTAGAACCCTGAACATCTCATAACTTGGGAGATAACATTTTAAATAGGTCATACCTAGAAAATTCAAAGCTTTTAAATGAAGTTTCTTTAGCCGAACATTCAACTAGATGCCTCATCAGCGGTGGGTGACTCTCTCAAGTTTTGGTTAAAAAAATTAAGATGTGAGTTGTTAAATGTACACTTTCCTTTTCAACAATCAGATGCCTGCACCAAGTACAATATGTAGACAGTTGAAAACAGTTGAAACAGTTAAGTTTTGGCAGGCAAGAATAATTCTGTAATTGGTGGTTGTGGTAATGGACAGTGGACTCCTAACCACGAAAGGGGGCCATCATAAGCAAAGTAAGACAGAAATAAAAAAGCAGTGAAGTCAGAGGACTGACGTTCAGTGGGTTTGGAGGATTGCAGAACTATAAAAACAGCAGTAGACAAATCGAGATTTCAGCAAGTGTATTTGGTGATTATAAAGTCTAAAGTCTCTTGTTGAGAATAAGTGGTTAAGATAGTTAAGTAGCAAACATAGTGACTGCACTTGAGTAATGCAGAGAACGGAAGGGAAAGGTGTTGGAAATGAAATGATTAAGAATGTTGTAAGCACTAGCAGAGGGCAAGATAGTGAGCAACGTGCTACAATCTTCAATGTGAAACAGAAGCAAGCAGATAGGTTTGGGTCACGTATTGTAGGTCATTGGATCTCCAATGGGGACATTTTTGCCCCTTATGGCACATTTCACATTATCTAGAGACAATTTGAGTTAAAACAACTGGGGGATGGTGTATGTACTAATGAGGTCTAGTGAATAGGGGGCAGGGATTCTTTTAAACACCCTATCATGCTTAGTGCATTCTTTTTCATAACAAAGAATGATCTGGCCCAAAATGTCAGATGTATAGAATCAAGAGATGTTAGTTAACAAACAAACTGGGAATTATCAGTCTAGCAAATATTGTGTTTCTACTTTAATCAATAGCTTCTTATGGAGCATGGAGCAAAGAATTACACATTAAAAATAAATATCCATCAGCTAGGCATGGTGGCACATGCCTGTAATCCCAGCACTCAGGAGGCTGAGGCAGGAAGATATAGTCAGCCTGGGCTACATGATGAGTTCATGGCTAGTCTGAACTACATAGCAAGATCCTGTCTCAAAAACTAAACAAAGAAACAAACAGACATTCATTGACTATTATACATGTTTAAGACTTCTCAGTGAATACAACAGATAAACATTCTTGACTTGGAATAATTTTATCCAAGCAAGACAGTATGGAAAATAATATATGTAATAAACTAGATAGTTAGAAAGCATTAAGTGCTAATAAAAAAAAGTGGTGCAGATCAAGGTTATCAGGAGAGCTGAGGATGACAAAACAAAAAAGGAATTGCAGTTTTAAATAAGCATACAGGTGTGGTGACACTCCTAATCCTAGCTCCTGGGCAGATTAGGCAGGAGGACTGCCACAGAGTTGAGGCTAGCCTAGGCAATGTAGACAGACCTTGTCTCAAAAACTCAAACAAACAAAAAAATATTTTTAAAATGAGGCTGTCAAAGATTTCCTTAAAGTAACATCAGGGAAGAGATTGAAAAGTCAAATGAATATAATAAATATATTTTGACCTGAAAATATAATTTAGGGTAACAGGAAAGAATGTAACTGAGTCTCTTTACTAGGAAGGAGGTGGATTATCCTAAGTGCTTTGAGGAATACCAAGTTAGCTTCATGGAGCTAAAATAAAGAATACAAATCTTGGAAAACAAGGACAGCATAAACAGGACAGTAATTCTGCTGTATACTATTTATCTCTGTTTTGTCTTTAATTTGGCAGATAATTTGCAGGTTGATTAGCCCCTATTTTACCCTTATTTTTCATATTCTCCCCATTTGAACAATTATTTGGTCATCTAGATTTCATAGTGATATGAATGACGGCAGGAGAGAATGAGTTTCCAATGAAGATTTACAGTACCTCCATTAATCTTCCTTGCTGTTAATCACTCATTGTCTGTATCTGAATCATGTGTCTCACTAGTTCTGTCTCTCTCAGGTATGGTAACAGCACCAGGAACTACGTTATCCGGGTTGGGGATTACCATACTTTGGTACCAGAGGAGTTTGAAGAAGAGATTGGAGTTCAACTGATTGTGATTCACCAGAAGTATCGGCCGGTCAGTAATGACTACGACATTGCCCTGGTTAGACTGCAAGGACCAGAGGAGCAGTGTGCCAGGTTCAGCAGCCACGTCTTGCCAGCCTGCTTGCCGCTGCGCAGGGAGAGGCCACAGAAGACAGCCTCCAATTGTTACGTAACAGGATGGGGAGACACAGGTACTGCAGCTAACCAGGGAATGGGGGAAGCTGGATGTGTTCTTGTGTCTGGTATCCCACATTTGAATGGATAATGGGAAGTGAGATCTTTAAGTGGGTTTAGGCACAGTTGTTTGGAAATTATGCCAGGTATGAAATGTGTGCATTATAGCCTGGCTTCAGATCCTGAGGGTACTATTTGTTCCAGTTTGAATTTTAGCATAAATAAAACTCAATTACCAGTAGAATTGAGGAGTACAGAATAGTTTAACTTTTAGTTCTTCAGATCCATGAGAGAACAGGAAGAGATTTTAAGATTCTACTTCACAACAAGCAACTGGCAGTCTATAAATTTAAATGGTTTTTCCACATGCCTTTGATGCAAGTAGGCCTAGAAAGGTTTTGGTGTCTGCTTTGTTTCTTTGCTAGTCTTTATCTAGAAAAATTTTATGACGAGTTCTTTTACAGCAGACAAGAGCTACTGAGATAGAAGCTAAGGCTGAAGAGAACCATCACATTTTCTATTATTCCTTCTTGATCTTGCCACTTGTGACCCCTAGGCATGAGTAATGTGTAGTTAATGTTCTTTTGGGGCAAATATAGTTCTTTGAATTGTCTTGTAGAGTTACATCAGTGTCTAAGCTAATCCTTGCACAGGATGAACTTGAAATCAGATTGGCTGCTCTCCAGTGAAAAAGATTACTAACAATTGTACTTTTGAAGTGTCACATTATTCCTACAGGTGATAAAAATAAGGTTTTAATATATCTTAGTGTTTGTTTACTTTATCCAATTTTACATTCAAGCTGATTTTATAGAACATTTGTAGCAGCTGAGATGCACTGAGAACATTAGTAATATCCTGGAATTAAAGTAGGTGGGGGAAGAAGCATTTCCTGAAATAATTTAGTAACAAAATCAGATGAAGGTATATCAAGTCTTTGAGAAGGCTAAAGTCTATTTGAATTATGATGGATTATGTCACCTTCCTTTGGACACCATATCTAAATGAATAGAAATGACTAAAGGAGTAAATTGTATAGAATTTTTGTGGTCTTCTTTCTCCAGTTTAATTAAATATATGATGCAATCTGTACTCCCAAGATCATGGACACATTAACTGTACACATTAGCCACTGAATTAAGTCATGGCTTACCAGGAAGTAGAGTACCATAAAATGAACTTTGTGAAGTCTATTTATATGTGGGAAAGTACATTTTATTTCCAAATCATTCATTATGAAATACTGTTTCTACCACCTTAGCTTCTTATATGTGATTACCACTCATATTTAATCTCCAAATTGAAAAGTACTGTTTTCAAATGTATGTCTCAATATATAACCAGCATGAAAGTATTTTTAGCTTTTTCAAATTTTGGGTTTTTTGGGGGTGGTGATACTAGGAACTGAGTGTAGGACATTGTACATGCTAGGCAAGCACTCTGCCACTGAGCTGTATCTTCAGATTATTTTTAGGTTTTTATACATGCAGTTCAAATACTAAAGCCTGCACTAATGTGCTTTCTTTAGTTACTTTTTGTGTCAGCCAAGTCCATGTTATGCATTATCCCTCCAAACTCAGTACTCATAAATTTGGGAAGGATGTGCCAACAATTAAAAGTATACTATTTTATTGAGTTACCATGTATGTTAAACTACACTAGTGATACAGCAGAAATTGTTTCCCAAACTACTAAATGTTCATTTAATTGTTAAATGTTGATTCTCAGCTGGGATCTCACTGACTAATCCATATATTTGGTCTGAGTAGGAAGAGCATATTCAAGAACATTACAGCAAGCAGCCATCCCTTTACTTCCCAAGAGATTCTGTGAAGACCGCTATAAGGGAAGATTTACTGGGAGAATGCTCTGTGCTGGAAACCTCCAGGAACACAAACGAATGGACAGCTGCCAGGGAGACAGTGGAGGACCGCTCATGTGTGAACGTCCAGGAGAGACCTGGGTTGTGTATGGGGTAACATCCTGGGGATACGGCTGTGGAGCCAAGGATTCTCCTGGTGTTTACACTAAAGTCTCAGCCTTTGTACCTTGGATAAAAAGCGTCACCAAACTATGATTTGCAGACAGCTCAACAGTAAATATCTGAAGAAACTGATGAAAGCTACTAACTCTATTAGCACAAGACAAAGGAGCTTGAAGTTTCCTTTATGTTGACAGAAACTGTATACCCTTTGCTGCTTTTTGTGATGTGAACATTTACGGTTAGATACCTCAGTGTAATATTATCCTTACATTATTGATGATTGAAATTACTGGGAAAATTTATTTCCTTTGCCTGTTTCCCAGCATTCTCTACATTCAATTTTATAATTAGGCTGTTTTCAATCAAATGAATCAATATGGGGTACGGATTTGTAGTAAAAACTCATTTGATATATGCCTCTAAATGTATTTTCTATTTGTTCATTTGACAAGTTATCTTCCCCTATCAAAGCTGTGGGTTTTGTCAAATGCAATCACTTGCCCATGGGGAATTCCATTAACAACTTCCAAGGTGGAATAGGACCATGAGGCCACAAGGACTTTGTTAGCCTGTTACAATATATTTCCCAATAAAGGCACCTGGTATTTCCAGGTATCTTTGTTAAGCAGATACTAAATAAACTCTTAAAAGGGAAAAATTAAAAATGTGAAAAGATTTAAAACATGAAAAGTGCTAGCTGAATATATCAGGCATATTAACACACCTAGTATATTAATCTTTAATATCTATGTGAAATCTGTGAGTAGGTAAAATAAAGTACCACCTGAAGTCCAGGACTCAGGATTATGATGGGAGAGAGCCACCTACTGGAACTTTTCAGCAATTGACTTATTCAACTTACAGCTCTTCATAGAGCACTTGCCTAGCTTGTGCAAGACCCTGGAATCAGTTTTCATCACTACTCAGTCAAAATGCCTTCCTTTGTCTATATTGGCAAATGTATCAAATGCTTGTCAGTTTAACATGTGACAGTATTAGGTGACTACACTAAAAGGTCACGACAAAGGAATTTTACAATAGTGTTTTCAAATGGACTGGTGAATAACTTCCTCTAAGAAGGAATCCAAAGGAGGTTAGATGCACATCCCCCAAACCCATGGTCATCTCACTTGAAAGTCAGTTTTTCTCAAAAATGATAAGACGGCTTTACAGGGAATTCTTGGTAGCAAAACCAAAACTTTGCCCAAATAAAAGGCACACATCAGTAAGACTGCTAATACTCCTAGAGAAGGGAATTATTTCAGATGTCACACCTCTTCTGAATTCAGTGTAGAAACTGGTTAACAAGTTAATGTGAACTTTAGTATGGTTGTAAACAACCCTCTTAATTCTCTCTTGCACTGATGCTCATCCTTTTGTAAATCACGTTTTGCAAAACTAAAATTTTCTAAAAGCCCATCATTTCAATTAAAACTACTAAAGTAGCATTCACATTTTTGTTATGTACTGCTGCTCAAGGGTCTTAAAAGAAAATAATGTAAGAGATGAAAAAGTCTATCAATGAATTTTCTCCACAGCTGGCCTTGTTATTAAACTATTGCTAATAAACATTCATACTGATGTTTTTAATATACCAGGGATTATCAAATTTAAAGGCAGCAAAGAGGCCTGCAATTAATTCATAAGTAAAATACATGATTTATAAGTTATGTAGCCAATTGTCTTAATGTTTTTTTGAAGACACAACTGTTCAGGGCATATTTATGTAAATAAAGCACATCAATTTTTATCTTGTGTAATTGCCTTAATTTTGGGGATAGTATGCAAATATGGTTCTCTTGGTTATTATGTGCAAACTATTCAATTTACATTACACAATCTTTTTAACAGTAGACTGGGAATATTTTTACTTTACTCGTTAATTGAACAGTGCATATCCATCTACACAAATCAAGCATTTTATTCAATTACATCAAGGAAGTACCTTAAATATTAATTTAAACAATTCAGACATCATGTTCAAAATACTACTTCAGTAGTTTCCAGACTGTTCAAAACGCCCAGTTCTAAGAGTTTAAAGTTTGGTGATCCACTGAAACACGGATGACACTTCGCCATTTACCGCTTTAGATTTCTTGATTATCTGTTAAGAAAACAAAACTAGCATTAGAAAGTCAGATCTGTGTAATTACATCACTAAGATCTTAGCAGCTATTTACTTTCAATTGGCTCTTAAAACCAGTCTAACAAGCACTCTTCCTACAACTGTAATATGGGTTTCAAACGATTCGACAATACTTATAGTAGTTTACCCAGTAACTGCCTCCTCTAGGTTTTACAGTGAAGAATGTTACTTGTGCAAGTCAGAATCTGATACCAATTAAATGGTGACAGCTTTGCCAATAAACAAGAATATGCTCTTCCATGGCTAGGAAGGGAGACTGCCACAACTGACAGGTCCCAAAGACACATGGAGATTCAAGAGTCCAGAGCTCAACCAGCACACCCAACTCCCAGTGACACTACTCACCACGTGCTCAAATGGTGGCGGTTCTGAGTGCTCTGGCGCCAAATATGGGCTCAAAACGCTCACATGCGGGCGGCCTTGGAGCTCACGCCTCGCCGGCGTCTCCGGGAGCATTCATGGGCGCCCGCTCGCCCGCTCAGGATCCTAGGCTGCACGTGGCCGTTATGCAATCTAATGCATGTCGAAATCTGTTCGGGTCCTCAAAACTAAAGACTTTTAAGACTGACCGCCTCCTACCACTAAAGCAAGAATTTTGAGCTTTCTGCAGTTTAATCACGTCCTTATGTTCTGACGAAATCATTTTAGCAGACAAGACACAAACAGGTCAAGGACCACAACCTGCGCACTTCCCGGACGCAAAAGGCCGAGTTTGCCGCCGCACACTGCCTTATAGAGCCGATGACGCCTTTCCGGGGGAAGCGCAGCGAAGGGCGGGGACCTTTCCCTCCGTTAGCTCCGCCCCTTCCTGCAAGCCCTCGTCCCTACGCTTCCATTTGTAGTCTTCCACTTCCTGCTGTGGTTCCACCCCTCTCTAGGCGCTCCGCATCTCACCTCCCCCCACGCCTCCACCTCCGCCCCTCTCCTGTCTCCGCCCCCTTCTCTCTCTGCCCCTCCCCGCCCCCGCCCCCGACCCCGCCCCCGTTCCCGCCCGCACCATCTAGGATTGAGCTGGTTACCTGGACTTCAGACGCATGCGCACATGGTGGCGGAAAACTCGCGAGGTTGTGAAGTTCCGCGGCTCTCCAAGGCTGAGTGAATTTACTGCAGTAGAAAGATTATTTTTCTGTTTAAGGTCGTTGCTTTAGAAGTTACTGTTGCTACGGAGATACTGATTTCGGCATTTAACCTTGTGGTAGGTTAATTTGTATAAAGTTGGCTTTTTTTGGGTTCTCTGCCGGTGAACTTTTCGTGCTATCCGTGCCTTTCAGCATTCGCTGGGATTCCTTGCTTTTGCTGAAACGCCAATGTCTTAGGTGTCCCCCTCCCGTAGTTTCTTAAGGGAAATGGTTCGCCAGTAAGAGACCAGCTCAGCGGATTTCCTGAACACAAGATAAGAAAAAGGGCCGCGCGAAGTGGCGCATCCCTGGAATCCCGGCAGACACAGAAAGGTGGCGAATTCGTGCTCAGCCTGGGGATTTACCAACGCACAGAGAACTGTCAGAAATAATAAAATAAAAAAGCACTGGGTGCACCCGGCGCGAAAGCTCTGAGTTCCATAGCTAGTACGGGGGTGGGGAAGATTAGAAAAAAGAGAAAAGGTTGAGTGAGTCCTAATTGGCGCGGCGTAGCTCTGCTTGTAGGTGTCTTTGGTCTGACCGGTATCTGGTCACTTTCTCTGGAAGCATTTGGGATCCAGGTGTCTGGATCTTAATTCCCTGCTGTATGTTTCATTGAGGGTGCAATTAAAAAGTAGAGCGACTGCCCGTGTAAAATGGGATCTCCAACGGTCAAGAATAGTTTTAGCGAGGTGTACGTGATGGTGCATGCCTGCCATCCTAGCATTCGGTAGGCTGAGGCTGGAGGGTCACAAATTTGATTCCTACTTGGTCATTGTGGCCTTTTAGCAAGACCGTGTCTCAGAGTAAAAAAGTTGAAAGGTAGCTCTGGGCCAAGGGTTTGTGTTCGATTCCCAGCCCCTCCTAAAAAAAGTTTTAGTCTTAAGACAGGTGCTTGTTAGATCACAGTAAAAAATTGTTTTAGCTTTTCTTAGCTATGAAACAAGGATAGAGGAGAAGCTTTTACTCAGTGCTGGACCATTAGGTGCAGCTCATTTGCAGCAATTGCTGTCAGGGAAAATGGTATCAAGACCTTATTGGGTGAATAAAGTGGTGCAGTGGTGATGGACCAAACTTTGTGAGATGTGTACATAACTTCTGGCAAAAATTTAATGGGATTAAAAATTGGTCTTATTTTTGGTAAGGCCTCAGAGTAGATAAACTTACAGGAGATACATTTTAATTTGAAATAACTAAAACTGTTTCTAAGGCTCACCATATTTTACCCTTTTTCTCATCTCATATTCACTTTCGTAATGAACCTGAAGAACTGCACAATAATAATGCTTAAATATTAAATCACAGTGTGGAGTTCTGTCAAATAGCTCCCATATTAGTTTCTTGGCAGTCCTCTAAAAAAAAAATACCATGTTTAAGTAACAGAAATCTATTTGGTTACAGTCCTGGGGGCTGGAAGTCTGAGATCAAGGTAACATCTGTTGTTTCTTCAGAGGCCACTCTCCTTGGCACATATGTAGATGATAGTCTTTTTTTCTATTTTAACATAGATACCTGTCTGCATCAATCGATTTTTTTTTTCTTTTTTTCTTTTTTTTTTTTTTTGCTGTTTGCAGAGCAGGGTATTGAATCCAGGGCCTCACAAATGCTAGGCAAACACTCCACCACTGACTTATATCCCCATTCTTAAAAAGGATTCTAGTCATAATTGATGAGAGGCCATTTGTAACCTCTTGTAACTTTAATTAGCTCTTTAAGGATCCTATCTTCAAATATGGCCATACTCAGAGGCAGTGAAATTTATGTCTTCAACATGTGTGGAATCCGCTGAGCGTATGCCCAGGACTTTCTATGAGTTTTTGTACTTTTTGAGGCAGAATCTTGCCATGTAGCCCAGGCTGGTCTTGAATTTATAATCTTCCTCGTCAGCTTCCAGAGTAGTTAGGATTACAAGTTTGCCTCATTTAATTTGCTGAAGATTTTAAATGAATATTTCCATTCATGTATATGTAGGCACATATGTTCTAGCTTTTGACTGGACTTCGGTGCTTTGTCTGAAGCTGGACTAAAATACCTGCCATTTACTACCCCCATATTTTGTTAAGGTTTATTATTCTGTCTTCTATGCCATCTCATTTAATTTTATCTGTCAAACTTCTATTCAGCTTTTAGTGCCTCACATAAATATTGCATGTCTTTTGCTTGTCTTGTGAAAATATTACTCTAACTGAATTTTTTGACATACAGTAGTACTCTTGGTACCATTATTGTAAATCCTGTGGTGAATGGTAAATGTCTTAACTTTTCCTTTTCCATTTCTTTTTTTTTCTTTCTTTTTATTTATTTATTTATTTTTAAATTTTTGCTACTGGGAATTGAATCCAGGGCATTTGTACTGTACTACATTCTTAGCCTTTTCTTATGTTTTATTTGGAAATAGGAGTTCACTAAGCTGTTAAATTGCCCGGGGTTGGCTGGAACCTGTCTCAGCTTCTAAGGGAGCTGAGGTTGCATGGTGTATCACCATGCTTGACTTGTTTCTGTTTATTTGAAGTGGCTAAAAGAGTGAGTTGTGTAAAGCAGGCAGTCAGTTACATTACTGAATGCCTTGAGGTACTCAGTAGATACTTTTGAAATTGAAAAAGTTGTATTTTTTACTTTAAAAAGTAATTTTTCTGCAGCAGGTAGAATTTAATTCCCCTCGGTTAAAACACCAACTTCAATGTGACTTGTGTTTAGTAACTTGCTTTAAAAAATAGAGTAAGGAAAAGGACAAAAGTATAACTTTGCAGTGGAGAAAAGTGATAAAAACTATCTACTCCAGGTAATCAGGGATGTCATGGTGATATTGTGTATTGTGACATAATTAATGAAAAGGACACTTTACCTCTTTCTGTGTTCTTTATCAAAACCCATATCCCAGTCTAACCTTGAGAGCAAAGTCAGTCAAAAATAAATTGATGGACAGTTTATAAATTACCTAGCCAATATTTAACACTACCATAGCTGCAAAAAAGTTAGACAAGTGTCACACCAAAGATAATAAAAGGTCATATGGTCCCTGGCTGAGACCCTCAGGAAGAAAAATGAAGTTAATGGACAAATAGTGAAATCTGAATAGTGTGGAATTTAGTTACAAACAATGTGGCAAAGTTGATTTTATAGATATGACAGATGTACCATGATGTTTTAAGATACTTAAAAAGAAGGAATTGGATGAAGTGTGTATGGGGGAGCTTCATGAACCATTTTTGCAATCTTGTAAATCTGAAACTTTTGAAATGATTTTATAAGAGCAGTTATAACTTTGTAGTCTGTTATGTTCATGTTTTAAGACAGAATGGTAGTTACAATCCACTGTTATTGTGAAATTTGTGGCTGAAATGACAGTATTTCTAAGTTTGAGGAGATTTGAGATCCAGTCCAATGAATTTAGTCAATACTTAAGGAAATTTTTGAGTCTTAGAATACTCAAGAGAGACGGTGTGATAATAGAAGAATTAAAATCAATTGTAAATAAAGATTAGTTTAAAGATTTTAAAGGTCAAATGAAAGGTGAAGCATTTAGAACTGTTAAAACATATCAGGTAGTATTTCAACTCTTCAGTACGTGGACTGAACGGTTAGTTGTAGAATATTCTGTTTGTTTGTTTGGTGTAAGACAGGGTTCTTTTGCTGTGTAGCCCAGTCTGGCCTTGAACTACCTATCCTCCTTTCTTAGACTCCCAGGGCTACAGGCATGTACTGTCATGCGCAGCTTTAGAACTCACTTTTTAACCCCTGCGATGTATTTCCTTTTCCCTTTTCTTAGTTTAGTATAGGAATTGGTAATCATCAGAAAAATTAACATATAATTATATATCTGTCTTATGAAAGCTGAAATGAATGGGAGAAAATGAAGTCAGGAAAAAGCATGTGAACTTACTTTCATCAGAAAATAAACATAGGGAAATTGTTAAAACTGGGAACCTAAACTTTGTACGTAACATTAGCCTAAAGCATAGTGGCTTAAAACCATAAGCGTTTACTGTGTTGCATAATTTTTGTTCATTGGTCGGAAATCCAACCACATTTCCTGCCTTAGTGACCTTGGAGGTTGTGGTCAGAATGTGACTGACAAGGAGCTTCTGTCATCTGACTCCTTGACTGTGGCAGGAGCTACTGAGTCCTTTTCCAACACAACTCACTCAGAAGCCTGGTAAGTTAAAGCTAGTTGTCGGCAAGAGGCCACTTTCTCAACACTTAGATTTCTCCATAGGATTTCTTACGTGTCCTCATGACATTTACGGAATCAGCTGGCTTTCTCCAAAAGAAGAAGCCACCATAATTCTTATGACCTGCTCTAGGAAGTTTTGGACCATCACTTCTTATAAGACTTTTTATTTCTGGTTCATAATCAAGGGGAGTGAAATTAAGCTTCATCCTTTCAAGAAAGGGGTATACAAATTTTAACTATTTTGAAACTCCTGAAGTCTGGACGGGCCAGATTTTATTGTAGTTACAATCCAAAATCTCTGAAACTTAAAACAGCAAAGCTCCCTTGTTATGGTTATGTTCTCTTCACCATTTGTGACATTTCTAAATAACAGGAGGAGAGAAAGACAGAGAATAACCTCCTTGTTCTTGTAGCTTCCATTCAAGTGACACTTGCTACATTGACTCATATTTCATGGACCACAGCAAGTTGGATGGCTGCACCTAACTTCAAAAGTATGGAGAAATAAAAATTTATACCAAAGTTCTCCCAAAAGAAGCGCTAAATGGAAAATAAGCCCTAAAATCAATTT